CCCATGGCCATATTTATGTCATATATTTTATTTCAGTGATCGGGATGTGCCACCCCTTATTTTTCAGAATGTTGGCTCTCTATCTTGCCACCCAGTAGAGAACTGTTTTTTGTTTGATACAGTAATGAAAATGGAAGACTCGATAATGGAGTGGTCCCTCCTCTTAACCCCGTAGCAACCAATATCTGCTCCGGTTCCTAAAGACTGCCGCATTGGTTCTTTTCTGTGTAGGCAGAGCAGCCACATCGCACAGCTGCTCCAACTGCCCAGATGTTGCCTGGGGATCCCTCTATGTAATGCTTTAATTTACACTGCGCACACACAGCCAATCAGGTGTGAGGGTGGGATTATACCTCTCTGAAGGTCGCCAGTGAGCCCACCCATCAATCCTATTGGTTTATCAGTTTAAAGGTGTGTGCGTGCATGGCCCCGCCTCATATCAGAGAAGCCCCCTCCGTCCTACTTTGGCTATAGAATTATATAAAGATGTGTCATGTAAACACTGGCTGACACAAAATGAGATGTGTGATGTCGGGATTTGTAGATTGTGATTTCCGCTCTGGTCCCTTAGTAAACATGGCCGACTTGTTCTTGGCAGGTGACTGCCCCTTCTTAATTCCCTCTTACTTTTCTCTGCCTTCCCCTCATAGTGGCCAGACGCTTTCTGCTATTTATACTGTATAGCATGAGAACCTGAGCGTGATATTTTTTTGCAGGAACAGATCCTAAACTAGGGTTGCCACCTCATCCCTTTAAAATCGAACACGTTAATTACACAGGTTCTGAGGCTTATTTAATGCAGATATGGCGCTGAGTTTAATTACCACCTTAATCAGCCACAGAACATGTGTAGTTAATATCTGTTCGCTTTTAACAAGCTGACTTAGCACCCATGTCCCAAACACGTCTGTACCTCTGGCTCGCAAGCTGCCGACTGAGAGGATTCCTCCGCACAACACACTAATTTATAATGGACAGCGGCACACGGCAGTAACAGTCCCCAGAGCTGGCTCCACCCACCTCAGTCATTTGTGTTGATCAGGTGCGCACGCGTGGTTCCGCCTCTCTTCTGATCAGCTCCCGCTCCTCAAACCCCTTGCTTATTAGTGGCACAAGTCAAAATTTTCCACTATTCAAAATGGCCGCCTCGGCCTCAGAAACTGCCTGTCTAAACTCTCTGAAATCAGCAACTGTATCCGCTCTCCTCCCCTCCCAGTCGGAGGACGCATTGCTGTAGCAATGCATTTTTTAGGTGGGCATGAGCTGACAGCCCTGGTGCTCCGTGTTCCCGATTCCTCCACCCCACTCTCTGGCTGTTAGCAAGAAGTAGTCACGCTTCCTCTGTATCCCATCGTCTCTTACTACGGAATGAGAATGTGCAGGTGAGGGTGCAGGACAGGGATACCACAGCTAACTAGGGGCAGTGCAGGCCTGAGGAGGAGGGTTCCTCACAGTGCCAGTGTAAGGGTCCCTTACCCTGCAGGCCTGAGGAGGAGGAAGGCCCTTCACAGTGCCAGTGTAAGGTACCCTTACCCTGCAGGCCTGAGGAGGAGGAAGGCCCCTCACAGTGCCAGTGTAAGGTACCCTTACCCTGCAGGCCTGAGGAGGAGGAAGGCCCCTCACAGTGTCAGTGTAAGGGTCCCTTACCCTGCAGGCCTGAGGAGGAGGAAGGCCCTCACAGTGTCAGTGTAAGGGACCCTTACCCTGCAGGCCTGAGGAGGAGGAAGGCCCCTCACAGTGTCAGTGTAAGGTACCCTTACCCTGCAGGCCTGAGGAGGAGGAAGGCCCCTCACAGTGCCAGTGTAAGGGTCCCTTACCCTGCAGGCCTGAGGAGGAGGAAGGCCCTCACAGTGCCAGTGTAAGGGTACCCTTACCCTGCAGGCCTGAGGAGGAGGGCCCCTCACAGTGCCAGTGTAAGGGACCCTTACCCTGCAGGCCTGAGGGAGGAGGGCCCCTCACAGTGTCAGTGTAAGGGACCCTTACCCTGCAGGCCTGAGGAGGGAAGGGCCCCTCACAGTGCCAGTGTAAGGGACCCTTACCCTGCAGGCCTGAGGAGGAGGAGGGCCCCTCACAGTGCCAGTGTAAGGGACCCTTACCCTGCAGGCCTGAGGAGGAGGAGGGCCCCTCACAGTGCCAGTGTAAGGGACCCTTACCCTGCAGGCCTGAGGAGGAGGGCCCCTCACAGTGTCAGTGTAAGGGACCCTTACCCTGCAGGCCTGAGGAGGAGGGGCCCCTCACAGTGCCAGTGTAAGGGACCCTTACCCTGCAGGCCTAGGAGGAGGAGGCCCCTCACAGTGCCAGTGTAAGGGACCCTTACCCTGCAGGCCTGAGGAGGAGGGCCCCTCACAGTGCCAGTGTAAGGGTCCCTTACCCTGCAGGCCTGAGGAGGAGGGCCCCTCACCGTGTCAGTGTAAGGGTCCCTTACCCTGCAGGCCTGAGGAGGAGGAGGAGGGCCCCTCACAGTGTCAGTGTAAGGGACCCTTACCCTGCAGGCCTGAGGAGGAGGGCCCCTCACAGTGCCAGTGTAAGGGACCCTTACTCTGCAGGCCTGAGGAGGAGGGCCCCTCACAGTGCCAGTATAAGGGACCCTTACACTGCAGGCCTGAGGAGGAGGGCCCCTCACAGTGCTTAGTATGTCCTCACTCTGTAGGCTTAAAAGATAAGTTCACCTTTCAACAAGAAATAATAAATGAACTTTTTTGTACAAGTAAAAAAAATGTGCATTTATTATTTTTTGTTGTAAGAGCCTGGAAAGCATTGCACCCACGATTAGCAGGTCTCTGATGTCATGCAGGTCTCCTGCAGATCTGTCAGTGTACCTGTTTGCTCGTACCTTTTACCTGGTGTAGCATGAAAGGTGAACTTATCCTTTTAACCACTTCCCGCCAAGCCTATAATAAAATGACGGCCGGGCAAGCCTCTCGTCCCTCCGGGAGGGTGACATATGACGCCCTTCCCGGATCACGCATTGCACGTTCCTGCAGGGCTGTGCTGTGGCGAGATCTGTCACCGCAGTGTACCTCACCGGTGACAGATTTGTGTACGGGCCCCGTTGCCAGTACCATGTGACCTGCTGTGACCAATCACAGCAGGCCACATGACAGTTGCATACAATAGATGGCTTCCTTGCCATCCATTGTATCTAGTGTGTCTAGCTGTGAATGGTCACAGTGATCACATGCACAGGCTGGGCCAATCACAGCCCATCTGTATCATGTGATTAGCCATGGCCAATCACAGCTAATCACAACAAAAAAGCTTGAATCGATTTCATTCAATTAAATGCTTGCTTATAGTAAAGAAATTCTTTGCTATAAGCAATAAAATTGTGTAAAAAAAAAAACAAAAAAAAAAAAAAACTGATAACTTCCCAAAAGTAATACAATGTTACTATGGTAACATTATGCTACTTTGGGCATAGTGTAATATGAAAAAAGAGAATTTTAAAAAAGAAAAAAAATGTAATAAAAAAAAAAAAAAAAAAATTAAGAAATAGAAAAAAAAAATCATCAAATTTTTTTCTTTGTACTGTCACCAGTCATTGTCCCTGATCACCGCCATGCTAGTTATATGATGACGCTCTACTGCACTGGTGTGACAGTATGCAAAACAAATGTGAAAATCATTTTTTTTTTTATTTATTCATTTTCCCAAAAAAATTACAAAAAGATTACAACTTCAAAAACCCCGTCACGCCTCTTATGAAATACATCAGACTGTCTACTTTGCAAAAAGGGGTCAAAGCACCCCTCCCATGATGAGGGCATAGTGGCCTTTTACGGTTAGGGGGGCACTTTTTCTCCCCCCCCCCCCCCCCATTTCCTGACCTGACAGGCTGCATGCTCGGATAAGGGTCTGGTGTGGATTTTGGGGGGGACCCCACGCCATGTTTTTAAACATTTTGGCATGGGGGTTCCCCTCAAAATCCAAACCAGACCCGAAGGGCTTGGAATGGATGGAGGGGGGACCCCACACCATTTTTTATTATTTTTTAATTGCCGGCAATTTTTTTTTTTCATTCAACTGTCAGTGGGGAACCTTGCTGACAGCTGATGACTCATACTGTAGGTTGTTAGGGACTCGGCAGCCACCCACTCCTTAGAAGCACTGATGACTTGGAATACACTTTTCATTTTCATAAATTAGGTTGTAAGAGTGTTGAAATAAATGTGGGTGCAGTGAAGAACTCAGTGGGCTGGCCAGTGGCCCGCTCCCCTGGGGAATGTTGGTGGTCAGGCTTGAGGAGGCCTAAAGCTGTGTAAGGGGCTCCAAAAAGTTCTGATGGCTGCCCTGGACTTGAGTGCCATAGACTGCAATGTAAACCCTCAAAAGTCGTATCAAAGTTGCACCTAAATGTTATACATGCAACAGTTGTCCCATATCATTAATGAAAGCCAAAGTCGTATCAAAGTTGGACCCATCCAAAGTTGTGTCAAAGTTGCACTCTAAAGTCCTACAACTTTGGAGTCGTACAAGCGTGAACCTTAATTGCCATTTTATCCTGGGCGTGTCACCTTGTGTGTCTGTAGCAAAGCCAAACATTCCAGGGTATATAAACTCTTGATCAGGGCCATTTGAGTGATTTTGTTATTATGATTTTAAAAGGAGCCAAACAACTCCTTGCAAATTTTTGAGCAGAACTGTATCAGCATTACTAAATCATAATATTTTGTGAAAAAAAGGATCCAATTTCTTACCAGGCATAATAAAAATAAATCCTACCCTAAGCTGCCTTGGTCACATGTTCTTTGGCAATCTTTTTTTTTTTCTCTTTAACATGAAGATAATGAGCACTGGAATAAAAAATAAACATTTTATCCAAGTACCATATTTTTCGCTCCATAAGATGCACTTTTTTTCCCCAAAAAAATGGTGAAAAATGTCTGTCTTATGGAGCGGCTGGCTCGGTATTACCGCCGCCGTGATAGAATACCAGGCCTGCCGCTCGGCTCTACTGTACAGAAGAACCCGCTCCAGCTGTGTCCTGCTTCCATCGGCCGTCTTCTCTCCCCGGCTGTGACAGCTTGCAGCTTAACAACCGGGTGCCCACTGCACATGCATGAGAAGTGCTGTGCTTTGTGAATGGCCCCGTAGTCTTCTGGGACCTGTCATGTGTCCCACAAGACTACGGGGAGGGATGACAACTCCGCAGAAGTGGGAGCAGGTACCTGTAAAATTCCGTTACCCACCCACCTCTTCAAAGGTCTGCACCCTCTGGTCATCTCCTGTGCTATGTCCGCAGTCTCTGGTCACCTCCTGTACTGTGTCCGCAGTCTCTGGTCACCTCCTGTACTGTGTCCGCAGTCTCTGGTCACTTCCTGTACTGTGTCCGCAGTCTCTGGTCATCCCCTGTAGTAGGTTCGCAATCTCTGGTCATCCCCTGTACTGTGTCCGCAGTCTCTGGTCATCCCCTGTACTGTGTCCGCAGTCTCTGGTCATCCCCTGTACTATGTCCGCAGTCTCTGTTCATCTCCTGTACTGTGTCCGCAGTCTCTGTTCATCTCCTGTACTGTGTCCGCAGTCTCTGGTCATCTCCTGTACTGTGTCCGCAGTCTCTGGTCATCTCCTGTACTGTGTCCGCAGTCTCTGGTCATCCCTGTACTGTGTCCGCAGTCTCTGGTCATCTCCTGTACTTTGTCCGCAGTCTCCGGTCATCTCCTGTACTATATCCGCAGTCTCTGGTCATCCCCTGTATTATGTCCGCAGTCTCTGGTCATCCCTGTACTATATCCGCAGTCTCTTGTCATCCCCTGTACTATGTCCGCAGTCTCTGGTCATCTCCTGTGCTATGTCTGCATTCCATTGGTTCAGAATTTTTTTTTTCTTGTTTTCCTCCTCTAAAATCTAGGTGCGTCTTATGGTCAGGTGCGTCTTATGGAGCGAAAAATACCGTAGTAAACAAAAAAATATATAAAAAAATGTATAAACATAAAAAATTTAAATCATTTGACCCCAACCAAAATAAAATATTCATATTTTATTATATTTTGTGGCAACAACATAGAATGCCCCTCTGACAAATCCGCAAGCTGTATTTGTTTAGCAATTGTAAGTCATTTACATTGCATTTTGCAGATTATTGCAGTTTAATCTTGTAAAGTACTTTAGTTTTTTTTTTAAATTTGAATGACTTCAGTTTGTTGCAGATTAGCCCATGACCCAGATTTTAGCTTGCCAGTGGAGGCAGAATATGTGCAAGTCTTGCAGTATTACCTGTTTACATTGCAGGTGCACATAACTACAATAGCTACATTAATACATTATGACCATACCACTGTATATTAATGGTATGACTTCTACCAAGATTCTCCTTCACTGTTGATTCAGCTCCTTCCTTCTCCTCTGCTCAGCACACATATAGAAAATACATAGGCAAACCAATAGTGATTTATCGTTTAAAAACCTATGAGTTGCGCTGTATTTTTAATAATCATTGAAATGATTATCACAGTTATCAACAGGGAAACCATTATCCATATGGTTCTCAACATTATAATTATAGATGAGCGAATCGAACATGGCGAAGTGGAATTCGTTTCGAATATTGGGAAATATTCGATTCGCGCCGAATCCGAAAATTAGCCAACTTCGGATGCGCGAATCGAAATTTTCCAAAAATGGCGGCGACATGTGTGGCGACGGAGCGGGGATCTCTGGGAAGGCGCGCAGACAAGGCGCGCTGACCCATAATGCATTTCATTCATGACATGTGATCGCATTAGCCAATCAGCAGCCAGCCAGCCAGCACTGTGTAATGGTCGAGCTAAAATTGCGGCCATCTTAGAATTCTCCATTAGCCTCCGGTCATTCAAGAGAGACAGACCCTCTCTGTATTAGGGACAGAGTTAGGGCCAAAGAGACTTTAGGGCCACAGAATCGTTACTTAGGGACACAGAATTGTTACTCAGGGACACAGAATTGTTACTCAGGGACACAGAACTGTTACTCAGGGACACAGAATTGTTACTCAGGGACAGACACAGAATTGTTACTGAGGGACACAGAAATTGTTACTGAGGGACACAGAATTGTTACTCTGGGACACAGAACTGTTACTCAGGGGACACAGAATTGTTTACTCAGGGACACAGAAACTGTTACTCAGTTACACAGAATTGTTACTGAGGACACAGAATTGTTACTCAGGGACAGACACAGAATTGTTACTGAGGGACACAGAATTGTTACTGAGGGACACAGAATTGTTACTGAGGGACACAGAATTGTTACTCAGGGACCACAGAATTGTTACTCCAGGGACACAGAATTGTTACTCAGGGGACACACAGAAATTGTTACTCAGGGCGACACAGAACTGTTACTCAGGTACAGACACAGAATTGTTACTGAGGGACACAGAATTGTTACTGAGGGACACAGAATTGTTACTCAGGGACCAGACACAGAATTGTTACTCAGGGACACAGAATTGTTACTGAGGGACACAGAATTGTTACTGAGGGACACAGAATTTGTTACTCAGGGACACAGAATTGTTACTCAGGGACACAGATTGTTACTCAGGGACACAGAACTGTTACTCAGGGACACGAATTGTTACTCAGGGACACAGAATTGTTACTCCAGGGACACAGAATTGTTACTCAGGAAGACACAGAATTGTTACTCAGGGACACAGAAATTGTTAGCTGAGGGACACCAGAAAATTGTTTACTAGGGACACAGAATTGTTACTCAGGGAGACACAGAATTGTTACTGAGGGACACAGAATTGTTACTCATGAGGGAACAGAATTGTTAATCAGGGACACACAGAATTGTTACTAGGGACACAGAATTGTTACTCAGGGACACAGAATTTTTACTCAGGGACACAGAAATTGTTACTCAGGGACACAGAATTGTTACTCAGGGGACACAAGAATTGTTACTCAGGGACACAGAATTGTTACTGGAGGGACACAGAATTGTTACTGAGGGTACACAATAATTGACTACTCAGGGACACAGAATTGTTATACGTTCTCAGGGGACAATCGTTACAAGAATTGTTACACAGGGACAGACACAGAATTGTTACTGAGGGACACAGAATTGTTAATATCAGGGACACAGAATTGTTACTCAGGGTCACAGAATTGTTACTCAGGGACACAGAATCGTTACTCAGGGACACAGAATTGTTACTCTGAGGGACACAGAATTGTTCCTGGGACAACAGAATTGTTATCTCAGGGACACAGAATTGTTTACTGAGGGACACAGAATCTTACTGAGGGACACAGAAATTGTTACTCAGGGACACAGATTGTTACTCAGGGACACAGGAATTGTTACTCAGGGACCGACACAGAAATTGTTAGTCAGAGACACAGAATCGTTATGAGGGCACGATCGATACTGGGGACACAGAATTGTTACTCAGGGAAAGCTCACAGAATCGTTTACTCGGGACACAGAATTGTTACTCAGGGACAGACACAGAATTGTTACTTCAGAGGGACACAGAATTGGTTATCAGGGACACAGCAATTGTTACTCAGGGACACAGAAGTTGTTACTCAGGGACAGACACAGAATTGTTAAGTCAGGGACACAGAATTGTTACTCAGGGACACTAGAATCGTTAATGAGGGGACACAGAATTGTTACTCAGGGACACAGAATTGTTACTTCACCGAACACAGAATTCCGTTACTCAGGGACATCAGAATTGTTAACTCAGGGACACAGAATTGTTATTCAGGGACACAGGAATCGTTACTCAGGGACACAGAAATCCGTTACTCAGGGACACAGAATTGTTACTCAGGGCGACACAGAATTGTTACTCAGGGACACAGAATTGTTACTGAGGGACACAAAATCGTTACTCAGGGACACAGAATATGTTACTCAGGGACACAGAATTGTTACTCAGGGACACAGAATGTTACTCAGGGGACACAGAATCGTTTACTGAGGGACACAGAATCAGTTACTCCCACATTGTTTATCAGGACACAGAATCGTTACTCAGGGACACAGAATCGTTGAATTAAAGAGTATGTCAGACAACACGCAGAGGAGTGGCAGAGGAGGCAATGTTTCAGGAGCGAGCAGACGTGGCAGCAGAGGAAGGGGTCGAGGCAGCACTAGTCGCAGCCAGAGGCCAGTGCTCCCGGTGTCATCCAGCGGTCGTGTCTCCACCGACAACCCTGCCGTCCTCGATTGGTTGGCTCGGTCGTCTTCCTCTTCCCAGGTCACCTCTGACACCTACAGCCAATGGTCGGTGGGTACGTCAGACACAACCGTTAGTTGGCATGGCCCGGGAGCAAGCACACTGAAATCACGTGTCCTCTACCGGCCCCTGTCCTTTGGTGTTCCCTCACCAAGCGAAGTATCGCATGCTGTGGGCTCAGCCCCACTGTACAGTGAGGAAGAGCTAACAGAGGGCGGTCAGGAACGGGGGGAGACATCCGCCTCTTCAGCAGCCAGGCGAAGAAGTACTGGCGAGGAGAGTGGCTCGGTAGCCGGTCTAGAGACAGGTCTGTCTCCTGACCCACACGCAGCCGAGGAGGCTAGTAGTGAGGCGGAGACCCTAATTGATGATGATGTGGCTGATCGCACTTGGCAGCCTCGTCGTCATCAGGCTATTGCTTCCGCATCATCAGGAGAAGAGGGTGCCAGCTTGACAGCGAGCAAAACAGTCGGTGGGTTGCCAGGAGGCAGCAGGGTCGCAGCAGTGTCAGTGGAGGCAAACGGCCACGGAGTAGAGCACCAGCTCCACTGCAGCCTACCACCACGGCCAGTAGTGGTGCCGGTGTGCACGGAGGAAGTAGTAGTCAGCCAGTGAGGAGTAGCGGGGGCAAAGTTTCCTACTCGGCGGTGTGGCAATTTTTCGTCAATCCGCCTGAGGAAGTAAACGTAGCCGTATGTCGACTATGTGGCCAGAAAGTCAAGCGTGGCCAGGGGGCCCATGTTGGGACTACAGCGTTGCATCAGCATATGCAGCGTCGCCATTCGGTGGCCTGGGAAAACCGTGATAAAGATACGGCGGTTTCTGCCTGCCCCAGCCCCCTCTCCATCACCCGCTCCGTTACTTGCTCCGTCACCGACGTCAATCGCCCTCTATCAGCCAGTCAAGGCTCCAACACCTCTGCTGAGGGGAGTTGTCGCTCATTGGCATCTTCCGCTCGTTCAGATGCTCCTTCTCCTGCTACTCCTCTTCACGGATTCCGTCAGCAGTCTTTCTTGGAATCCGTTTCCAAGAGACAACAGTTTGCGAGCATGCACCCGACGGTGCAGAAGCTGAACGTCCTCCTGTCCAAGTTGCTGGTGCTGCAGTCCCTCCCTTTCCAAGTGGTGGACTCAGCACCTTTCCGAGAAATGATGGCTTGTGCTGCGCCGCGGTGGAGAGTGCCAAGCCGGCATTTCTTCGCCAAAAAGGCAGTGCCAGCCCTGCATTCACATGTAGAAGAGATGGTGGGCCAGTCTTTGAGCATGTCGGTCTCTGCCAAAGTGCACGGCAGCGCCGACGTGTGGAGCTGTAACTACGGTCAGGGAAGTACATGTCATTTACGGCCCACTGGGTGAACGTGGTGCCGGCACAGCCGCACCAGCAACTTGGACAGGTCACGACGCTTTTGCCTCCACGTTTGCACGTCCTTGGTCCAGCAAACATGTCCGCCTCTACCACCTCTTCTTCCGCCGTGTGTCCTCAGCCGCCACCCCTGTGCCAAGTCCCATTACCCGACCGGCATATCACATGTGCAGGGCGCAACGGTGTCACGCTGTGCTGCACCTGGTATGCCTTGGCGAACGTAGTCACACAGGGGAGGAACTTCTGAGTGTAATGAACAGAGAAATAGACAGATGGCTGTCTCCGCGCAAACTGAAAATCGGAACCATGTTGACCGACAACGGAAAGAACATGGTGTCTGCTCTGCGTCAAGGAAGGTTGTGCCATGCGCCATGCATGGCTCACGTGTTCAATCTGGTTGTCAAGCGGTTCCTAAAATCCACCATCCCACTGCAAGACATCCTTAAAATGTCACGTAAACTTTGCATGCATTTCAGCCATTCCTACACCGCAAAGCACACCCTCCTTGAGCTGCAGCGGCAGAACGGAATTCCACAGCATCGCCTGATCTGCGACGTTGCAACAAGGTGGAATTCAACCCTACATATGTTAGACCGCCTTTACGAACAGCGAAAGGCCATCACCGATTTCCTGATGTTACAAGCGGATAAAGGTACTCCCCTGTGTAACTTCGATGTCAGCCATTGGCAGCTCATGCGTGACACCTGCGCTTGCTCAGGCCCTTTGAGGAGGCCACGCTATTCGTGAGTCGGCAGGACTATGGGATGAACGACGTCATTCCTCTGTTGCACGTCCTGGAACAAATGCTGTTAACAATGGCTGGTCAGGGTGCGGTAGACGTGGCGCACAGATCTCAACGCCACATGACCCCTGTGGGGGCAGGACAGGAAGAAGAGGAGGAGGTAGAGGAGGACATTGGTGCTCAGGAATTATTGAGTGAAATGGGTGGTTTTTCCACTCAGCGGACAGGAGTGGAGGAGCAGGAGCATCTGGTAGAGGAGGAGGAGGAGGAGACAGAGGACCCAGACGCACCGTGGCAGTATGCTGTGGAGATGGAGGCAGGGAGTCCCTCGCATTCCTTGGCACAAATGGCCCATAGCATGCTCGGTTGCTTGCGTAGCGACAGCCGAATAATAACCATCAGACAGAGGGATGACTTTTGGCTGTCCACCTTGTTGGACCCTCGCTACCGTTCCAAAATGGTGGCCTTTTTCACACCTGCTGAGAGGGAGGCCAAAATTACGTACTATAAAAACCCACCTATGTAGTCAGTTGGTCTCTGCCTTTCTGCGCCAACGTCCATCCTCAGACACTGTGGGCCCTGTGCGCTCGCGTTCCGCTGCCATGGCAGCAGGGGAGGGGTGGGATGGTAGGAGCAGTGGCAGCTCCACCAGCAGCGGCTGCCTCAGTCTGCAGTCGATGATGAGTAGCTTTCTTCCCAGCGCAGTGAGGAAACTACAAACCAGCCGCAGCAGCAGCAGCATCAGGTGGACTGGCGTAGGACCTCAAACAACAGGCTTGGGCCTACTTGGACAGCACCCTGCCAACCGAGGTAGACAATCCCCTTGACTACTGGGCAACGAAACTTGACCTTTGGCCCCAACTAGCTGAATTTGCCCTTGAAAGGCTGTCAAGCCCGGCCAGTAGCGTGGCATCGGAGCGCGTGTTTAGTGCGGCAGGAGGTATTGTAACTCCGCGGAGGACACGACTGTCCACCCAAAGTGTGGAGAGACTCACGTTTGTGAAAATGAATCAGGCGTGGATTAGTCTGGATTTCAAACCACCAGTTCCTGAAACAACTGACTAAATCCGCCATGAATCATGCCCCAAACATGTTATTATTTTTAACATAGGCCTCTGTATGGCCTTCAATTTAAGCTGCTTACGCTTCGCCACTCTGCCATGGGCCCCTGTACCGCCTCCTCATGCTGCTGCCAGGTCCAGAGTGTGTCATGGGTCCCTGTACGGCCTCCCATTGCTGCTGCCAGGCCCGTAATCTGCCATGGGCCCCCGTACCGACTCCTCATGCTGCTGCCAGGCCCGTAATCTGTCATGGGCCCCTGTACCGCCTCCTCATGCTGCTGCCAGGTCCAGAGTGTGTCATGTGTCCCTGTACGGCCTCCCATTGCTGCTGTCTCCATCGCCACACTCTGCCATGTGCCACTTTCAGGTCTCCTCACACTGCTGGTGGGTTCCATTTTGTCATAGGGTGCTGTATGGCCTCCCATTGCTGCTGCCAGGCCCGTAATCTGCCATGGGCCCCCGTACCGACTCCTCATGCATGCTGCTGCCAGGCCCGTAATCTGTCATGGGCCCCTGTACCGCCTCCTCATGCTGCTGCCAGGTCCAGAGTGTGTCATGGTTCCCTGTACGGCCTCCCATTGCTGCTGTCTCCATCGCCACACTCTGCCATGTGCCACTTTCAGGTCTCCTCACACTGCTGGTGGGTTCCATTTTGTCATAAGGTGCTGTATGGCCCCATTGCTGCTGCCAGGCCCGTAATCTGTCATGGGCCCCCGTACCGACTCCTCATGCTGCTGCCAGGCCCGTAATCTGTCATGGGCCCCTGTACCGCCTCCTCATGCTGCTGCCAGGTCCAGAGTGTGTCATGGGTCCCTGTACGGCCTCCCATTGCTGCTGCCAGGCCCGTAATCTGACATGGGCCCCCGTACCGACTCCTCATGCTGCTGCCAGGCCCGTAATCTGTCATGGGCCCCTGTACCGCCTCCTCATGCTGCTGCCAGGTCCAGAGTGTGTCATGGGTCCCTGTACGGCCTCCCATTGCTGCTGTCTCCATCGCCACACTCTGCCATGTGCCACTTTCAGGTCTCCTCACACTGCTGCTGGGTTCCATTTTGTCCTAGGGTGCTGTATGGCCTCCATTGCTGCTGCCTCCACCGCCACACTGTGGCTCCACACTCTGGTTTTGGCCCCGTGACTGCCCAAATGAGTGAAGTGTGCGGTGATTCTAAGATCGACGGCACTCATCTGCATGTCATACTGACTGACAGTATTATTTCTCTTCACCAGCAGACTACAAGGGCATTTAAATTAAAGGTACAGTGTTCTGCACTAATATAAAGGCTCTCTGAAGCCTAGAAACACCCTTTTTATAAGTTAAATTCGCAGCGAATATATTCGACTCGAATCAAATTTATTCCTCGAATTCGCCGAATCAGCCAAATCAAATTTTTGAATAATTCGCTCATCTCTAATTATAATCGGTTCATGGGGGGGGGGATTTAAATGATCAGATTCTACAGCCCTAGTTGTCAACAAGAAAGTCCCTCTTTTGCATTTTATTTAAATTGCAGTTTATTTTTTCCATTTGGCCATTTGCAATGCGTTTGTCATCTATCAAAGTCAATAGAAAGACCCACCACCTTCCTCAAATATATAGAAGAAATTATCCATGCCCTGATCTACCAGCAAGGATCCCCCCAGAAAACATTTGCTCTGATTGTGTGAGCAGACTTCACGAGCAACATTTACCAGAAAACATTCCACCTGCAGAATCAGGAAAAAAAATGTCAGGTATGCAGCAGAAGAGGAGTTAGGAGACACCAGTGTTCATTGTCCCCAATGTCCCTCCCAACCGGGCCTATACATCGGAGATTGCTTCTGACATTATCACACGTCACTAAAATATTAGTTCCCCTTATTTTTACCATCCTGCCATTTCTCAGTTTCTAAAATCCATGCTGATCATTTGTCTGCAGCCTTGATGGCCCATGCCTCTGCCTTCCACGTTGACTGACCCTGGCCTGTTTACCAACTATGCCTCTGCCTGCCATCTGGATTGTTTCTAAACCACGTTTCTGCCTTCCACCTGCACTGACCTCGGCCTGTTAATCGACCATGTTTTTGCCTGCCGCTTGAACTGATGTTTTGCCCTGCTACTGTAGTAGTGGGTACAAGATAACTCCGGGGTCTCACATATGTGAGGGGCTTCAGAGTAGAGAGAACCAGTTTTTGGTTGTCACCGGGTGATAGGACTGATGTCTGTCTGTAGCCAACCTGTCCTCGCTCCTCTTTAGCACCGGATCTGGGGAAATAAAGCCATTGACACAGAAGTGTTGTAAGCCGTATTTCTGAAGTGTAATCCGATGTGTTCGGGGTAATATACAGAAACAAAATAGACGTCTCTTAGTCAGGATAACTAATAAAGCATTACACTCTTATCAGCCTTTTGATGACAAAGTCCAGGAAGTGACGAAACGCGTCGGGACACGTGACGTATGACGCAATTACGCTAGACCGGAAGTAGGTGTGCGGCCATCTTTGATTAGGGAAAATGCGATTTTTCTCCAGGAAAGTGCCTGTCCATGTGCTAAACAAACCGAAAGCTGGAGTTTTTTATGTAAGTGGATGTAATAAAAAGTGTTGTACCCTTATTACTCAGTCTCTAACTGCCTGTTTCACCTTATGAGGGATGTGGAGATATACCGAAAGGATATGGGTATACGTTTAATGGAAGTTTGAGAAAATTGGAGGTGCAGTTATCTACCATTCCAGAAAGCGGGTTATTAGCTCCATAGGGTAATTGTCCATTTGCAGCACCAGTTTGGAGTGGTCACCTTTACACTGGTTGATTTGATTCACATTTTGAGTATTGGTTGCAGTGTGTTGAGTTCACTGTCACATTATATAGATGCACTTGGAATGTGCTTCGAGATATATTGTTGGTGCACATTTAGAGCATATTTATAGATTATAGATAATTTATTTATTTTTTTTTTTCTCACTGCTTGAACAGTTTGTGTTGGAGTATGCATGACACATAGTGCACAAATACATTTTGTAATAAGATAATACACTATTTGCGATTTATATATTTCTTTGAGGTTTTTTTCTACTGGATCATCGTATTTGAAATTGTATACAAAATATCACAAGGAGAAGCGATTGAAGTGGAGAAAAAGTGATTTGGACTTGTTGTATATAGAAAAAGGACACTTTTTTGGACACTATGTTTATTTATTTATTTTATTTTATTTTTACTGTATTGTATTTTTATTTATTTTATTTTATGTTTGTTCTTGATAGATGTGTATTTGGGGTAATTAAGATTGCACATTTAGGTTTGGATATCTTTATAGATTTAGTTAAGAAAAGGTATAGAGGGGAAATGAAAAGAACATTTTGTTCTTATCAGTATAGTTACGTGAAATCAGAAACTACAAAAGCTGAGGGGCACCATATAAGATATTTCCGTTTACACAGAAATGAGAGCAAATTCCTGAAAAACCAAACTTAAGCTGTTCCATATCTAACATAGAGGCATTATATAGAATGGATTCCAGTTTAAAGATACATCTCCCTACAACTGGGCCTTGTAATTCCCGGATCAGGGTCTGTTAGTCCTGAGGCTTCAAAGTGATTGGGTGGGATAAAGCCTCTACCCTGTGGCCAGGTCTTACATGACTGAGGCCTTAAAACTGCTGTTCCTTCCTGCTGTCTGGACCAATACTGTGCTGTCCATATCTCTGCCTGCCTGCTGCTGTATGGACCCAGGACTTTTTATGGACCATGTTCCTGCCTTACCTTAACTAGCACTTTGGCTGTGCTGACCATATCTCTGCCTGCTGCCTGTAATGACCCAGGACTTTTGTTGGACTATGTTCCTGCCTGTTGCCTGGACACCAAGTCCCAAACTATCTTGCCACTGCTCCCCATGTAGTCTGGACATCCTGGGATCTCTATGTGACTATCTTTTCCCAGATCTGGTACACTTGCTGTGGAGATACTGTTTGAATGCAAGGAGGCCAGAAAAATTAATGAGGAACTCCTCTAGGCAGAAGTTTTGTTGGGGAGTATAGACATCATAAGGTGATTTACGAGGGGATACAATCAATTTCTGTCTGTCTGTAGCCCAACCTCTCCTCGTTTATCTCTTACCACCGGATCCGGGGAAATAAAGCTCTCCACACAGAAGTGTAAAAGAAGTATTTCTAAAGGTTTAATACAAAGCAAGAGAAGATATACAGAAACTCAACAGGCGTTTCTAAATCAGGATAACCAATGAAACATTCTACTCTTCTCAGTATAGTTACGTGAAGAACAGAAACTGCAAATGGCTGAGAGGTGCCATATAAAGTGCATCCGCTTACAGAGAAATGAGAGTCATTCCTGAGAAATGAGACTTACTGCCTACATGTAAGCTGTTACATATCTGAAATGGAGGCATTATACAAAATGGAGGCCAGTTTAAAGACATATCTCCTTACATGAGGGGCCACATTTTGTGATCATATTCAGGGTCACCCCGAGGACGGCAGATTGCATTGTTGTTGAAAAGCATAAATCGCATTATATTCTCATATCTATGCCTGGCCATGGCAGCAGCAAACACGGCCATATGATGAATCGGGTCTATGGACCAACATGACTGCAACTTATTTATTTTAGTAATGTCCATCTTGAGGGTTAGGCCTAAATAAATGTAAGCTTGGAAACCGTAATAAGTTTTCATGCAAATGGTCTGGCAAGGTTTGAATTTGAGTCGGCAGAGATGTACTAGTCAGCATATAAATTTCTTTGGTCCACAATTGATTCATACAGACCTTCTGGGGAAAAGAGCTCTAAAAATCAAGGAGAGCAGTTATATTTGCTGTTTCTACCTAAATTTGGGGTTGTGCATTGAATGGGGGAAGTACGGGGGCTTCAGAATATGTGGGCTGCCAATCGGGATTTGCAAGCACATCCGGAAGGATACTATGGGCTCTACGGGCCTGTGTGTGAATTCTTGGTGGTTAATATATGGTGGGACAATATTTGTGATCACCACTACACCAGCTTGTACTGTACTTATGGGACTCGCCACGTCACCAAGTGATACTGCAGTTCTGGTATGTAAAAGACCAGGATGTACTAGGCCGCTGGTGCTCACCAGTTCTCCAAAAGGTAGAGAGACACTAGTACTGGCTCCCTGCTGCATATGAGAGTCATCATGCAACTCTTAACACTTCAGCAACCTCAGAACAGGTCGGGTACACCTGACCTTAGCAGGGACTTCTACTCCATCATCTGAGCTGTCAGGGTGCTGCTGCTTTCTGCAGGTTCATATTCTGAGGTGGATTCTGTCAGTGAGGCTTCCCCTTCGCTGTCATCCGACATGCTCAGAATCCTGTAGGCCTCTTCACTAGAGTACCTTTCTTTGGACATTTTGGCCACTAAATGTATAGGTACCTAGTGTGACTCACAGGAAAAAGAGCACCTGGCTGTCAGGGACTGCTTGAAACGCTACAAATAATATTTACCTGCTAGTGTTAGTAGAGATCAGAGACCTTGCTGACCCCTGTAGCTACAGGCAATATGGATCAATTCATCCTCAATTTCCAAAGAATATCCAGTGAGGTCCCTCAGGTGGGTTTCAGTAATCTGCTCCCCCTCTCCTCTCAGTCCTCTGAGTCAATCAGTTATGAGTGGAAATTACAGCTTGAGCTACTGAGCTCTGTAAATTACATGGTTTGTACAGTGATCCAGGAAGGACAGGCTGGTAAACATGTGGAAATATGATTTCAGCTCCACCTACTGGCTTGAAATGTAAATTCAAATTATTCATATACAATATATTTCAAATTTACAAAAGGCTGTGCCATCACCAATACAACTCATACTCCCGAAATATCATGTCATTGTCTCCCTTCTGCAGGATAGTAATTGTTCAATCCTGGAAAGTTACCCATCCCCCATCACTACAAGAAATGATGAACATCCCTAACTCCCATCCCCTTTATGAGTCCTTGTCTGCCATACAAAGTCCCCAGGCTTCCTCTGTCCTGGCTGTGGGCAGTGAGTGCCCATCCCCCTTCTCTGCTCCTGGTGGGGGTTCTGTTCAGGTATGAAGGTGGTATCCTATGGACATAACCCCTCCGGAGTCCCTCCACAACCACATATTATACTATGTAGAGCTGGGCAGTCGGCTTCATCTTCTTGTATTTTGTTCCTTTCTGTTTGGTTTCCTCATTACAAACGATTTCTCCATAAAATGAGTAGAGCTCTCCTCTGGTGAGGATCGTCCTCCTTATATTCTCCATCTGGAGGATTTGGACGATTTTTGAATTCCAGTGTTTCTGGGTGATATCAACAAGAAAGTGGACTTTGTGTGTCATGTGTGTCTGTGCTATGAATTCTATCTGCAGATGTGTGACTTCACCAAAGACTTCTGGATCATCTCCTGACCAAGTTCCCCCTGAGTCCCCCTATGTCAGGCCTTGTCTGCTCCTGTTCAGTATCTGCTCATCATTTCTCTGTGTGATCTCAGTAATGATATTGGAGACATTCTACTCCAGAGACAAGCTTCCTACAGAGTGAATGGACTGCTGGAGAGATTTACACCCCTCCCCCTTCCATGGGTCATCAGAAGGGGATTTACTGACTTTTCTCACCTTGATGATGGGACCCCATTATCTTCTTCCTTCTTTCTTTTCTATGAGTTTTATGATGACCATACCCTAAGAGTTGTTGGTTCTTTCCCTAATATGCTCTCATGTGTCTGTATTTGTCTCTGCAGGTTGAAGAGATGTGGTCTGACTTCCTCCTGCTGTGATGATCTCCGCTCCATTCTTATCACTAACCCATCCCTCACCAGCCTGGATTTATCACGTAATGATCTCCAAGACTCTGGAATGAGACTTCTGTGTGAGGGACTCCGACATCCTGGCTGTACTCTGCAGGAGCTGAGGTGAGAATTCTACTATAAATGATCTGATATTCTGCAGGACTCTGATATAAATCTTCTATGTGAGGGACTCCGAGATCCAGGAGATGAGGTGAGAATTCTAATATAAATGATCTCATATTCTGCAGGACTCTGATATAAATCTTCTATGTGAGGGACTCCGAGATCCAGGAGATGAGGGGAGAATTCTACTATAAATGATCTCATATTCTGCAGGACTCTGATATAAATCTTCTATGTGAGGGACTCCGAGATCCAGGAGATGAAGGGAATATTCTATATAAATGATCTCATATTCTGCTGGATTTTGGGATAAATCCTTTGTGAGGGATCCAGACACGTTCCCTAGATGACAGTTATACAAAGACAGACGTCTTGGCAGGTTACACTGGGAGACGCCATCATAGTCCTTCAGGTCACTGGCTGTTATTGTCTTTCCTCCATTCCACCCTCCACTGACTATCAGAGATCAGACTTTATGTCTGTCGAGGTGGATTGTTGTTTGGATGATATAAAACACAATGAAGTTTATTTGGCCCATAGAGACTGAGTGATGACATTTCTTATCCAATAAAACACGTCCAGATCTATCCATCTACCAGACAAATGTTTCTTGTTTGTAGAACTTAGAACATCAGATGTGTACTGACTAGTAGGGATCAGTGACTCTGCTCAGGTTCAGTTACCTGCAGGGTCAGGATATCCTGTCTGAAGTCTGCAAAACCTGAACTTTACAGTGAATCCCACTGAAGGGGGAAGAGTGAACACCCCCTGAACCATACCCGGCCACATGCCCTCAACTGGAGGGTGCTTTTGGAAAAGGAGCTTCCCCCAAAGCAGCTTGTCCTCATGTTGATGAAGACAAGGGCCTCTTCCCCCCTGTTCTTGCCCAATGGCTATTGGGATTTGCAGGTGGGGAGCTTATAGGAATCTGAAAGCCGCCTTTAACAAGGGGGCTGCCAAATCCCACCCCCGTGTGGATCAGTATGGGGTTCATAGTAACCCTTCTCTTTCACCAAAAAAGTATCAAAAAGTACATAAAAACACCAATGTAGTTTTTAAAAAGTCCTTTATTTAAAAAAAAAAAGAAGCACTAACCCAGATGATTTAACACGTTCCCACCTGGCCTATTGCAGATTGATGGCCGGTCCTCTTCTTCTTGTGACTGGGCATCATATGACATCCTGTGCATTGCGCCGTGCATGTTGCACCCCGGGGGCGTGCAGCATGGCCATTGCTGTCATGCTGTGTCCCTCGGACACAGCACTTTTCCGCTGAAGGTAAAGAGCCAATGAAATTGTCCTTTTACCACGTGATTGGCTGTGACCTGTCACAGCCAATCATAAATATGAACACACAGTGGTCACTCACTGTTGTTATCTCCTCCTCCTCCTCACACACCGATCTTGTATGAGGAGGAGAACCTGGGAACAGTGAGTTTTTCAAAAACCCTTTCACTACTGCGCACCACACTGCCCCTAATAAAGAGTCCCTGTCAGTGTCACCAGTGGATCTGTCCGATCAGCTCATCAGTGCATCTGTTGCATCTATCAGTGCTGCCATCAATACACGGTCCATCAGTACATCTGTCAGTATTGCCATCAGTGGATTTGTCAGTGCTGCTATCAGTGCATCTCTCAGTGCAGCTCATTAGTACATAGCCCATCAGTGGATCTGTCAGTGCATTCCATCAGTACACAACCCATCAGTGGATCTGTCTGTGCCGCCATCAGTGGATCTGTCAGCGCAGCTCATTATATACATAGCCCATCAGTGGATCTGTCAGTGCATCCCATCAGTACACAGCCCATCAGTGGACCTGTCAGTGTAGCCCATCAGTGCTGCCATCAGTACACAGGCCATAAGTACACAGCCCATCAGTGGATTTGTCAGTGCTGCCATCAGTGCATCTGTCAGTGCTGCCATCAGTGGATCTGTCAGTGCAGCCCACCAGTATACTTGTCAGTGTACCTGTCAGTGCAGCCCATTAGTGCATCCAACAGTGTACCTGTCAGTGCATTCATCAGTGCAGCCCGTCGGTGTACCTGTCACCGCAGCCATCAGTGCAGCCTAATCAGTATACCCGTCACAGAATCGACATCACTGCTGCCCATCAGCAGTGTGCCCATCACAGTCACCAATCAGCGGTGTACCCATCACAGCCACCCATCAGCAGTTTACCCCTCATACAGCCACAATCACCAGAGCCGCAATGTCCAAAAATATATTTTACTAGTGGCGCTCAAAATCCTCAGCATGTCGGGAGAGAGCAGCGGGGAGCTCTCACCAACCGATTCTGATTCGGAATACAAGCCAGTAATAAGTAGTAGGTCAGTGACCGAATTGGAGGAGGAAGCAGTCCCTCATAAAAGGATACGGCACTCTGAAGAGCAGGCAACCACAAGCAGCACCATACCCCCCAATGGTCAATCAGCAGACACCAATGGTGCTAGAACCCAGGATGAAAGGCCCAGTACCAGTACTGGAATATCCCACCAGACCCCAAGAAATAGGGCCCAAACATATCTTCCTGATGCCCTGGCAAACCCACTATGACTGCCTTCCAGCTCAGGGTCAGCTTCAATCCTTCCTTTCCCCACACAGCCAGGTGTGCAGACCAATACTGAAAATTTTTCTGAAACTGATTTTTTTATTTGTTTTTCCTGGCCAATTTACTGAAATACATTGTGGACCAGAGAAATCTTTTTGCCCAGCAATATATTGATAATAATCCCAATACATCCTATGCCCACCTTTTACTATGGAGACGTCTCACAGTGGAGGAGTTAAAATTGTTTTTGGGCCTTACATTTAACATGGGGCTTACAAAAAAAACAAAACTGCATGCCGACTGGTCCACCAACCCCATCCATCATATGCCCACCTATTCTGCTGTAATGTCCCGGTCACGCTATGATCTGATCATGTGATTCCTGCATTTCAATAACTCACAGTGTTCCCCCCGAGATCATCAAAATTATGACAAATGGTACAATATCCACCCCCTAATAAATTATTTTGCTAAGAGATTTGTGGAACTTTATGTCCCTGAGCATCACATTTGTGTGGATGAATCCTTTGTCCACTTCACTGGCCGGCTGGGATTCAATTAATACATCCCCAGTAAAAGGGTCAGGTATGGATTGAAGCTGAACAAGCTCTGCAAAAGAGCTACAGGATATGTGCATGCCTTCCACGTGTATGAAAGGAAAGACTCCCAGCTCCAGCCCTGAGTGCCCAACCTACATTGGCACAAGTGGTAATATTGTCTGGGACCCAGCATTCCCACTGTTCCCACAGAGGGGTGAAAGAAAATGGGGAAAATGAGAACATGACATCACAGGAACAGTAAAGGCACATCTGGTCTCAAGCCCCAATGCAGCATATGGAGGTCGCAATACTGGCAGGTTCGATGGAATATAAACTCAGATATCGAGCAGCAGCAAAGAGCAAGGCAAGAGAGGCAAAAGTAAGCATTGGGAATGTATACAGTAGGTGTGGAAGAGGAAGTGCAAGGGGCTGGTACAGTATGGCCTTGTACGGTTGGTGAGACTGAGGTAACCCAGTAAAGGTTGCCAGCATGTGGGTAAAGAGTTGGGAAAATGAGATATATATATATATATATATATGGAAAAAAAATAAATCATATGCGCAACTGGATTGCGGATAGGGAGTAGGTCTCCTATGATACAAAAATGGGAAGAGGAGAAGGAAGGCTAAACTCTGAGTCAGAAAACAACAATGGCTTTGAAATGACAGAGCTCAATTCTTTAAGGCCCCATGGGTGTATGCCATGTGTGGATCATCTGGAGCTGTGTCAGTACCACGCCCATTATGGACAAGAGCTCCCCCATGCTCCTTTGTATACACAGAGTGGTATTTTAGTAGTGAAAAGCATGAATTAATGTTTCAGCTGTCAGTGGGGTTTCCCCCTCCATCCATACCAAGCCCTTTGGGTCTGGTGTGGATTTTGAAGGGAAGTCCCATGCCAAAATAAAAGAAAAAAAATGGCATGCCCCCCCAAATAATCCATACCAGACCCTTATCCGAGCATGCAGCCCGGCAGGTCAGGAAAGGGGGGGTGAGTGAGTTCCCCCCGTGAACCATACTAGGCCACATGATCTCAACTTTGGGGTAGGAGGAGCCCCCCCAAAGCACCTTGTCCCCATGTTGATGGGGAAAAGGGCCTCTTCCCCACAACCCTGGGCTGTGGTTGTGGGGATCTGCGGGTGGGAGGCTTATCAGAATTTGGAAGCCCCCTTTAGCAAAGGGGCCCCCAGATCCTGCTCCCCCATGTGAATGAGTACAGGGTACATGGTACCGCTACCCATTCACAAAAAAAAAAACTGTAGTGTGAAAAAAGACAGGAGACATTCTTTGACAAGTCCTTTATTAAAAGAAGGAAAATAGAAGAATGTCCCCCGCAGTGGATCCAACATCAATCACAATGCCCGCCACTGACGCTGACCAGAAAAAAGAAAAAAAAAGAAGACTTCGCTCCTGATGCTGGCTCCTGGCCATCTGCCTGCTTCGCTGGCTTGATAGTTCTTAAATATTTGAAGGGCGGGGCCATCACGCATGTGAGCCTGCCTCGTGTGACATCATTGACCCAGCATGCCCCATTGATGTCACACGGGGGCGGGGTCACACGAGTGATGTGACCAGGTAGCCCGCCCCTTACATATTTAAGAACTGTCAAATTTGCGGAGAGGCAGATGACCGGGAGCCAGCGTTGGGAGCGGAGCCTTTTTTTTTTGCGTGGCAGCTGCTGGCATCGTGATTGACGTTGAATCTACTTCAGGGGGCATTCTTTTATTTTCCTTCTTTTAATAAAGGACTTGTCAGAGACTGTCTCCTGTCTTTTCACACTACAGCTTTTTTTTTTGTGAATGGGTAGCGGTACCATGTATCCCATATTTATTAACGTGGGGGGGGCTGGGATATGGGGGCCCCCCTTGCTAAAGGGGGCTTCCAGATTCTGTTAACCCCCCTGCCCGTAGACC